ATTTTCCTTCTTTCTATTTAAATTAATTTTATTTATAAAATTATTCAAATTTATTGTCCAAGTTACTACAACTTAAATTTCAACTTTTAATTTAGAATATGTATTTGTTTTTTATTATAAAAATTATTCCCAATCAAATAAGATTTTTTTTTATTGAAAATAAAAAAGTGGGTGTAACTTGTTTTTCTATTATCCTATTCTAATATTTTTCCAACTTTATTTAACTAAAAATAATTACATTTCACAATAAAAGTTTATATAAATTAACAAAAACACCCCACCCACCCAAGCCACTACCAGTTGTCAGCAACCACCACTACCATCGCCAGCCACTATCAGTGTCGGAACGATGCATGATCGGCCAGATTTGGAATGCCATGCGTCGACTTAACTGTTTCGAGCTAGATCTATGGCTAGAGATCTGACTGTTGACGACTAGATCTATATGATTGTCATTGACGGCTAGAAATCTGGTCAGAAAAAAACCAGATTGACATACGATCGGTCAGATTTAGCCGATCACGCGCTATTTTGACAACTTCTGATAGCCGTCTAGCAATGGTGACTAACTACCGACAGTTTTTGGGTAGTTAGAGATGTTTTTATTAATTTATAAATTTTTATTGTGAGGAGGTGTTCAACTAAATTAACAAATGTAACAATTGAAAAATAACCCAAACGACTTTCAGAAAATGTTTTCAAAAAAATGTATGAAACAAATATTTTAATTTTAAGATATTATTCTAAATACATTTACAGAATCCTATAAAATTATTCTATTCTAATCGTTTTTCAAAATAATATTTTTTCAAATAACCAATCGGGCCTTTTGATTTTGATTTTTTAATTTAAATCTTATTAATTTTTAATTTTTAAAGAGGTGAATGTGATTGTTGATTTGTGAAATAGGTTCTTTGTTCTCTTCTTATCCTTTGTGTCCATGGAGGAGGGTTTTCTTTGTTTTTTTTCTCTATGGCGGTGATGGTGGTTGAGGATTACTTAGATCTGGGATTCGGCTTCCTTTATTGTTCTATCTTGTAGTTGAATTTTGGTGTAACTGATTGAGGTTTGGTTTGTTTATTGAGCAACAGGGGTTATTACAGATGTAGCAATTCAAAGGGGTGTTTGGCCCGTAAACAAGTGGAACGAAACAGATCGGATCCGGTTATGTTCATAGTAGCATGCACAGCAGAGCACAATCACCTAGCAGGCTAGCACCAACCAACCGAAACTCACTCGGCGGCAGCACGCGCCGGAAACCCGTGACGCCTCAAGGCCAAACCACCACCACCAGTAGTGACTCTAACAAACCCCCTTTTCTTCAGACAAAAAATGGTTTTGTATGTGTTGAGGCCATTAGCGAGTCTTGTAGATGAAAAGAGAATCAGTTCTGTTTTATTAACGTATACCAGTAAAGTAGCAGTGTAGCGTAGTAATGAAATCTTCCTCTTTTTACGTTTAAATGGATTGATGGCTAATTAGTTATAGCACTTAAATTTTGGAGTTCTTAGGAAATTAAACTTGTTCGGATTATTGTGTTCTTTATGATATCTGTTAAGGCTAATATGATTTTCATTGCTGCTTCTGCTCGTATGTGATTTACAGATGATAGCAGATTGTGATTTCGAACATTCACATGCTACATATCATTCTTGGAGCTGCATACGCTTAATTGTTTTGTTTATTTCATATCCAGGTCGAAAGGGTAATGCTGGAAATATGGGAAAGAAAGGGAGTTGGTTTTCCGAAATCAAGAGGGTTTTTGTGGCCCACTCCAAGTAGAAACTAGCCAATGTAAGTGATCCTAAATTCTGGTGTGTGTTGTGAAACAGTTGAAAGGAAGAGTGAATCTTTTTGGCTAATTCTTCTCTGATTCTTGATCATACTGCAGGATTCAGATAAGAAAAGGCATTTCTCTAATTTTTTTTTTTTTTTTTTAATTTTGCTCATGTATCACCCGGCCCACCCATAAAAATAACGGGCGGACTGGGTAATTTTCCCACGGGTATTTATAAAGATTATGGGGATACCCATGGACCCATAGATACAAATCCCTTTTTTTGCCAGATCTAATGATGTGGAAAATGTTGACTTTTTTTTTTCAACTTTCTCTTACAACTTTACGAGGCAGTTTGTATTTAATCAGTTCACGATTGATCTCATCTGATATATAAATTATAACTTACAAATTGCATTACTCCTAATGTCCTAATGATAATTGTTGAGATGAAGAGTAATTAAGATAAGAAAAATACTATCCTTATAAAAAGGGTTACAAAGTGACATCATCCAGAAGAAAAGAAAAAAAAAAAATAAAAAATAAGAGAAAGAAAGAAATCATAAAAATCAAAGATGAGGATTGTCTTTATAAAACTAGCATTGCTTTTAAGACCTGTAAAACTTACCACCTAAGTGGAATTGAAAGATGAAAAACACGAGTTAGCCATCTATACCAATACCACCCTTCCTCATAAACATGTGATACTCATTATATATTTATATTATTTGTGCTTAATGGTCCGTCTATAAACATGTTTTGCATACTAATTAACAATTATAATGCGTTTGAAGCCCTTAGTTATCAAAGTATAATTCTAGATTCTGCATTATTTACTCTTTGGGTTAATTAAACACTAACTAATTGTTAGGAATATTTCTATAATTAAATCACTTTTGAAATATCGCACTGCTCATATGCAACATGTACAAATGAATTTCCCAAATTATAAATGTTTTCATTAGAATTATTTAATTAGCTATCAATTGAATTAAATTTTCTCATGATCTGGTTAGCTAGTTAGTTAAAAGGATAAGACAAAGAATTGACTGTTTCCTGCGCAACGAAACCCCGGATTTATTTGGAACTATAAGTGGCACTATAGGATAATAGTGACGCGGGAGCATAAAAGAAAAAGCAAAAGTAAAAGAAATTAAATTAAATTAATTATATTTATATTGACTTTTGTTTTGTTTCACATAGAAGATGTATGCTTTATTTTTTCACTTGAGAGGCTATAAATAAAGTCTTATTTTATCCTTTGTAATCATCCTTGAATATTATTAAATATATTTAGAGTTAAAATATTTGATTTCTCTTCCAATTTGAGGTTATAATTATCTTTGATTTAGTCAACTAAGATGGTCTTTTTGGCTATTCTCGCCATAGTGGGGTTTATTCTAACCCCACCACGATTGACATCCATAGTGAGGTTTTCAACCTCGCTAAGATTGAGGTTTTTCGCACCGTCCCCGCATTCGCTTGGTATTAGAGCTTTGGTTTCTTCTTCAAACATTTTTTTTGCCCTTTTTATCACTTTTACTTTCAAGTAGCCATTATTTTAGTTTTTTTCCTTGCCTAGTCATTAGTTTACAGAAATTTGGTTTAGGATAGTGAGTAGCTATTTAATTCATATACATGTCTACGAAAATTCTGTCAACAAAACAATAAGAGTCTAAAGAAAGTGGGTTTTAAGTGGGACTGCTTGTGACCCCTCCACTTTCCTGGGAATTTTTCTGGTGCGTATTGAACTATAGTAGCACTTACTCCTATATCAAGTTCCTATGAATTATTTGATTTTTATACCTCATCACCCCTACCACAAAAATGCCACCAAAATCCCAAAATCATCAGAGAACTGTTCGAGATGTTGAAATGGAGGAATTACAAAACCAAATCAGAGAATTACAAGAACAACTTGCAAGATAGGGAGTAACAGAAGATCAAGATGATGAAATCGGTAGTAGCTCCAATAGTGAAGGTGAGGGCACCAATCCATTTGGGGAAGACTCTTTATCTCGAGATGAATCTCTTAGGTTCTGTCCGAGGGGTCGAGGCAGTGAATTTGGGATTTCAAGCTTCAGAGTAGATATTCCTGAGTTTTAAGGAAGACTTCAACCAGATGATTTTATTGACTGGTTACACAAGGTAGAAATTTTTTTTGAGCTTTAAGATGTTCCTGATGAGAAGCGTGTGAAATTGGTTGTAATAAAATTAAAGAAATATGCATCTATATGGTGGGAGAATCTGAAACGGCAACATGAAAGAGAAGGCTGTCAGAAGATCAGATCATGGGAGAAGATGTGCTGAGAACTCAAACGTAAGTTTCTTCCAGCATACTATCGGCAAGACACTTTTCTTCAATTTCATAATTTAAGACAAAGAACCATGTCGGTAAAAGAGTATACGATGGAGTTTGAGCAACTTCTTCTGAAATGTGATATGCATGAACCAAAAGAGCAAACTATCACTTGTTATCTGGGAGGTCTTAACGTAGAGATTACAGATGTCGTACAATTACAACTATATTGGAGTCTGATTGATGTTATCCAGTTGGCAATTAAGGTTGAGAAGCAACGGGCACGGAAGAACACTATAAATTACATTAGACAAAGGGAGACTATAATAAACTGTGGGAAACAAAGCTTAGCACCCGTTCCAAATCCTAAAGTAAACTCCTTCAAGCCTCCTTATAGAAACGATAAAGAGGGTGATTCTAGTCGCACTTCTAATGTTGCTTCAAGAAAATGTTTCAAGTGCCAAGGCTTTGGGCTTATTACTTCTGGTTGTCCAAATCGAAGAATTGTTTCACTTGTGGAGGAAGAAGTTATTGAAAATCATGCTGAGAAGGATACAACAGGTGAAGTAGAAGTGCTTGATGAGGACATAATAGAAGTACATGCTGATAATGGAGAATCCCTTGTGGTATGCTGCAGTCTTAGCACCGTTATGACAACCGAAGATGCAAGTTGGCTTTCTCATAATATTTTTCATACAAAGTGCACGTCCAAAGGGAAGGTTTGTAACATCATTATTGATGGGGGGTAGCTGTGAAAATGTTGTTGCCAATTATATGGTAGTGAAATTGAACCTTCCAACCGTAGCACATCCTCATCCTTATAAACTGCAATAGTTGAGGAAAGGAAACGAAGTCAAGATGTCCAAGCGTTGTTGTGTTTAATTTTCCATTGGGGATAGTATCAAGATGAAGTTTGGTGTGATGTTGTTTCGATGGATGCTTGCCACTTATTATTAGGATGTCCATGGCAGTATGACTGTCAAGCTCTTCATGATGGATACAAGAACATGTATTCTTTCAAAAAGGATGGGGTATGGGTAATGTTGACCCCTATGAGACCAAAAAATCGTTTAAAGAATCCAAAGGAGCTTGCAGCATTTATCATGAGATCTGGTCTTGAGAAAGCTTATTGGGAAATAAACCAGGTGTGTTTGTTACTATTGTGTAAAGAAAATGAAGTGTCTTCTGCCTTGCCTGAGAAAGTCAAGCACTTACTTCAAGCATTCTCTAATATTACGTTGGATGAGATACCTCTTAGGTTGCCACCAATGCAAGATATGAAACATGCTATTGATTTCATTCTTGGCTCTGTCATTCCTAAAAAAATGGCATACTACATGAATTTTAAAGAACATGATGAAGACATGGGGCTTGATGGCGAGTCTCTTCTAACCCCGGAATAATGATGCAGGAGCATAAAAGAAAAAGAAAAGAAAAAGAAAAAGAAAATAAATTAAATTAATTATATTTATGTTGACTTTTGTTTTGTCCTACCTGGGAGAGATATGCTTTACTTTTTCACTTGGGAGGCTGTAAATAAAACCTTACTTTGTCCGTTGTAATCATCCTTGAATATTATTAAATATATTTAGAGTTTAAGCATTTGCTTTCTCTTCCTCTTCCTCTTTGAGGTTATAGTTATCTTTAGTTTAGCCAACCAAGATGGCTTTTTTGGCTATTCTCGTCATAGTGGAGTTTATTCTAACCTCACCATGATTGGCATCCATAGTGGAGTTTTCAACCTTACCAAGATTGGGGTTTCTTACGATGTGTCGGTGTCAAATAGATCGACTATACATGTTTTAATCTTTTAAAAGATTTTGCAATGGCTTCATGTTTAAATGACTTTCATTCTTGATCTTTTAGGTGATGTGATTCTTGAAAATAAAAATGATATTTACGATAAAAGAAATAAAGGCTCAAATCTTTTGGAATACACAGACTCAAATTAGCATTCAAATAGTGAGAGATTACAACTTAAATAGAAGAAACTGAACTGAAAAGTAGGAACCAACAAACCATGACTTCATCATGACTATATCTCCACTAGAAAGTGTTCCTAAAGATATGCCTAGTTAGTAAAAACGCGTATTATACGCGAATTATACGGACAGCCGTATAATTCGCGTATAAAACGTGTGTATACATATTTTATAAAATCTGTCGTATAATTCGCGTATAATAAGGTTTCCCGTATAATTCGCGTATAATTCACGAATTATTCTCGAATTTTTGAAAAAAAAAAACAAAATCTCACACCCCCAAAACGACGTCGTTTTGGTGGGTTTATACAAAAAATAAAAATAGATCTGGTTCAGTCCTCCTTCTTCAATTCTTCGACAGTCAGCAGTGCGCCCCAAACAACCATCAAATTCACCTTGAAAATGAACAAATCCATGAAAACATTAAACTAATAGTGAGAGAGGGAAAACAAGAATGAAGAGAAAGAAGAAAAGAAATTAGAGGAGGTGGCCCTGCTAGAGTTCGTAGTGGTTTCGAAAGATGATGAAGGTGGGCGCAAGGGTTGTTAGATTTTGGGGATGAGGGAAGGTGCGTAACCCCTTTAGTTTAGACTGAAATCTTTGTCTTTTTGAGTGGCAAAGCGAAGAGCAAGCAAGGGAACAAATAGTACTGGTAAGTTTGAAAGCCTGAAAGAATATTGGGGGTGGAGGGTTTTGTGGCGGTGGGGTGTGGGAGAAGGATAAAAGGGGCTGGGGCAAATATTGGGGGTGGAGGATTTTGTGGCGGTAGGGTGTGGGAGAAGGATAAAAGGGGCTGGGGCAATTTTATTTTATTTTTATATTTTTTTTTAAATTTGATTTTTTTTCTTAATTATTAAAAATGGTTATTTATTAATTTATACATTTTATTTTATTTTATTTTTATAAAACTTAACTTTTCTTTTATTTAATAACCTGATTTTTAATAAAAATATAATTTTTAATAGAAATTGAAGAT